ATATACACACATATCCCGAATGACTTGATGAGTCACTGATGGAGCTGAGACTTCAGGTTTGGATGAACACTGTGGATCAAATCGCGATAATGGGAGTCATTTCAGGGTCTTTGAAGTGTTCATGAAAATGTATTTGTCATTTTTTTTGCAATAATTTTGTGTTGAGGAAATGCCTTTTTGGGCCAGTGTGCATCTCCACTGACCTGCAGCTCCACTGTGGTCATTACTACACAATGCTTTTGTGTAGTTACTCTTGTTCTCACAGCGAAGTTACAGCTGTAAGCTCTTCCAGCATATTTGTAAAACACTTTGCTACTCTTGTGAGCGGATCTGCATTTATTGTGAGCCCACAATAGATTCAGGCGATAAATTAGCTAATCAATGGCAACAAAGTCAGTCCCTCAACAATATTGTGGGAAAACGGCTTGAATGAGTCTCATTGATTTGGCTTCAAAAATCGTTGTTTCCTCAAGAAAGACTGACCTTGAAGGCACGGAAAGCTTGTTCTGATTGAAAAAGTACCCCATGCTGATTTTGCCTCATTGATTTCTGTTGCATATTTCACATTTCTATTATCTTGACTCTTCTTATCGATGTAGCCTCTGCTCCTGACCTTTCTAATTTTCCTTTGCTCAGAAAGTCAGGTCAAAGGAAGAAGATGAGGAGATAAAATGAGATACTGCTCACTCATCTCGCTAACTCATCATAAAGCAGCACACCTCCATTATTTCAAGTGCTAGTTCTTCTGAATCAGCTCTGTAGAGGGAAGTTCCCAGCACCATTATGTCACCAGGGATAAGAGGACAGAGGGATGGAAAGTGCTACAAAAGAAGCTATTTTAATTAAAGCTGCAGATTTACTCGCCAAGCTGGGTTTAACTGTAGATGGCGAGGGCCGATGGGAGCCAAAATGGTGGTCGTAAAAATGACTCATGCCAAGCAGGGGTGGAAAAGAGCCCCTTGAGGAACGGGAAAGGGAATTAAGGTGGGCAGTCGGAGGCTGTTCTATAATGAGGACAAATAGCCGAGAAGTTTGTCGCCTGACAGAAGGTCTGGAGCCGGCCGGGGAAATATTCATAGTGCAATACTTTTAGCTCCTGTGACATTTCGACTGCACTATGTCACCTTAGTGAGAAGGGGAAAAAGGAACAGGGTGGATGAAATAATGACTAAGAAAGATGAGGAAGGTTTAAAAATGCAACAGAAACACAGAGGAAAGGGTTGCTGTCAGGCTTTTTATTTTCCCATTAAAAAAAGAGGAGTGATTTATGAATTTATCAGCCATCAGAGTATTTTAAATGAAACAACTGAAAATATGCCCAAAATAAGTGATTCTTAAATTGCTTTTAACTTTTCAGCTACTTGTCAAGGGCACAGAGTTATTATATTGTTAGACAATAAATTGTACAGCTGATGGGTGTGCAGTGAGTATTAGTATTATGTCTAAAAAGAAAAAGAGTAATTTGTGGGCCTATATCTCCCTTGAAAGGATAATAACTAATTCTGATGGAGATTGAATGTACAATCATTGGCACTTCTTTAGTTATACCTTGCTAGTACCGGGTTGGTCCTCCGTTTGCTTTCGGAACGTCTTTGATTCTTCGTGCAAATTTATCAGCTACACATCCATAGTGCAAATTTCCTGTTCTACTACATCGTGGTGCTTTCTTGGACTGAGACCAACCAACTTGAGATGATCTGAGCTTTGTGACCCGGTGAAGTAGACATTTTATTACTGTTTCTAACATTTTTAGGATTTTTAATAAGACCAATATGAGCATTCACCATTGTGGACAGAAAATAAGGAACAGTGCAAGAGGTACGCAGAATGGTGTTAGTGCACTCACTGTGGTAATGGGTTTCTGTTTGAGTAAGTGATTGCAAAATTCATAAGTTTTCTTCTTCAGTGTGTATACTGTACTGACAAAGATGTGTTAAGTGTAGTGCATGTAGCAGCTGCTGTCTACTTCCAGTGCCAGATTTCAGTCCTGGTGAGGAGCCAAAGGATTCTCTTGGTTCCAGCATATCACTGTGTTTTTCTGTTTTCAGGGACTTAGCTGGTGTGAAAATCAGCCAATCATCTTCCCCGCTTTACCACTGCGATTTTTTTTTTTTTTTTTGCCTTTGTCTCACCTCCCACACGCTTCTCTCGTCTTCCTTTCTTGTTCTGTCACTTGCTCCCTCAAGCTGTTGGATGTCCCCAGGAATTAATGAAGTGATAAAGTGACAGCACACACACACTCACAGAATTATTTCCATCACTTGAGGAGACATTACACTGACTTACATTAACTTCTCACTGGCCTACAGTAATATTAACTATGGCTGCTGCTTGCCTTAACCTGAGTCTAACCTGACCACAAACCCAAATCAAACATTACTATTAACAAAAACTACCGATTCTCTGCGGAGAATTGCTTTTGTGGACCACCACTATGGAAATTTGTAAACAAATCTATTTCTTCACAACATGAGTACACACACACACACGCACACATTGCCTCGTTTTCTCACCAAAGGCTCAGTCAGCTGCAGCAGCAGATGTAGCTGGATATGTGTCAGATATCCCCCCTCTCCTACACTCTGAGCGCAAGTGAATTTATAATTTATATTCACCATCTGCATATGTCCTTATTTATGTCTCCCTGAGATATTTTAAGGGTTCTTTACCTAAACAAAATAAAATCACTTCCTGTAAATGGTTTGCTGGACTCAGAACATTTGGAAGAGCAGATGCACCCCGATGTAGTTTAAGGTTGGATCATAGCTGGAATATAACCTTCTTTCCATGCTGTTTTGGGAGCATTGTCACTCTGAAAAATTAGGCCAATCAGATGCTTTCCAGGTGGTATTGCATGGTGGATTAAATCTGATGGTACTCTGTTTTGAGCCAAAAATGTCAAATTTTGATTCTTCACAAGACCTGTTGCCACTAATTTTCAGTCAAGTACTCGTGTAATTTGTCATACTTTAGCCTTTTCTCCGTGTTTTCCTTCCTTTAGAAAGCTTTTTTACAGCCACACTTTCACTGAGATCTTTGTTAGTGCAAAAATACTATTATGTGTCAGTCAAACTGTGTTATCGATGGTATTTTTTGTAGAACGAACTAAAGAAATGGGAACAAATGATGTGTTTTTGAAACAGGCTGTTAGTGACAAAGTGCCTAAAGACACTTTAAATTTGGTTCCTTGCTAAGACACGACACTGGTTCATTTCTTAAGGTCGATGCCTTTTCTGTGCTTGAATAAATCAAAGGTCATCGTTAAGAGACCTAACAAAAAAACAAACAAACAAAACATTTCTCTGAAAATGATTAGGTACAACACTTGGACTCAAAATGAATGAAAACGGAGCCAGTATCCAAAAATAGTCTAGCTCCTTTTAAGCTTAAGTCATTGCAAGTGATCCTATTATTTTTTCAGTTGAGTTTAATTGAATTAACATTACCTTTTTGTCCTCGTCAGAAGGTAAAATGCGAGGTGTCATTCAGTGAGGGAGATGAGAGCGGGACAAACTCTGAAACACCGTGATTTTCGAAAACAATCAGAGCCCGTCTCCACAACTTTGACTCGTTTTAAATCATTTTTATTTTTCGTCACCGCCTTGCCTGCCCAGCTTCTGTTGAGAGTGTTAGAAAAATCAAATATGCTCAATATGGAACACTTTGTGTGCTGCCTTGATATTTATTTTCTAATTTGGAGCCAGTTATTTCCAATTGAAATGTATCTGTATATTATATTTTTCCCCGCCCCAAGTCTTTAAGCGTGTTAGCTCAGCACTGAGCTTAGACAAATTTCATCTTTCTAACATCAGTGTAAATTATTAGTTTATTTCACCAAAGTATCTGCATTTGTGCCATTTTCTCTCTGTCCTTGTGACTGTTCAATTTTCATGTTTATTTGTGTGCATTGAGACAGATTGAATGGGAGTATGGAGCTTTGCAGAGTGACCTCTGGTTCAGCTGAAACCCCTCGGGGGGTTGGATAGCAGCTGTGCATGTGTGTGTATGTTTTTATGTGCATGCCTCTGTAAGTGCACACAAAAGCACCTTAACTCTATATTTAATAAACACTTGAACTTGACCAAAAACTGATTGTTAGTCTAAGTGCTTGGAACAATATGGCAGGATAATTAGTATCATGAGAGGAGCTCATGAGACGAGTGCCTTATGCAACAGGAAAGGTTACATCCTGTTGTACTTCACCAGGCACACGTACGTAAACAATACCTGCATCCACTAAGTGTGTTAAGAGCGAGCATCAAGTGCTGTCTCGTCTCTCAAGTGTAAAACTTTTACTGTCTCTCAGAACTATTAAAAATTCTAATTAACTCTTGACCATGCTGTTTTTGTTCCATCTTGTTTCATATAAGCAGGTAATGCTGTAGTATTCTTACACAGTACACACTGACCAGGCACCGTGTGGACATTACACGATGTATAAAGACAAATCACAGACTCTTGAAGTATAAGCCGACCTATTTATTAAAAAATGGAGATGGACAATAAATCCCAATTCATTTCAGTTAGATCTCAAACTCTAGATCAGGGGTCTCCAACTCCAGGCCTCGAGGGCCGGTGTCCTGCAGGTTTTAGATGCGTCCTTGATCCAACACAGCTGATTCAAATGGCTAAATTACCTCCTCAACATGTCTTGTAGTTCTCCAGAGGCCTGGTAATGAACTAATCATTTGATTCAGGTGTGTTGACCCAGGGTGATATTTAAAACCTGCAGGACACCGGCCCTCGAGGCCTGGAGTTGGAGACCCCTGCTCTAGATCTTTGGTCCTTTATTCTGTTGTTTTCTTCTGTCGAACATTTTGACATAAATAGACTTTTAACAATAGATAGCGGGCTCACTGAGGAGAGGAAATCTGTATGCTTCTATAATTGCCAGATCGAATGGATTTGAAGAATACCAAAGAAGGGACAAAAATAAAAAAATATATGTATTTTATGGTATGTTTAAGTAATTTACAACCTCTCTCTTTTTCTCTTGACAGCATCATCCCAGGGACCAACACTAAAACAATCAAGTCCAGTTTGTGCTTTCCAGGTGAGTTGGAACTTCAAACGAATTCTACGGCATGTGTTTGTGTGTCTGTTGTTGTTTTTTTCCTCTACTGCTTATGTAAAACGACTTAAAATATATAAAATGCATTCACAAATGCAATGAAAACCGAGGTGCAAACTTTGGAGGGTTTTCCAAAAGTTGTGTGCTGTATACGTCACTCTCTGGCCGGCTACAGCAAGGTGTGCAGCAACATGATGAACATAGTACAATAGGACAATAGCACAACAGTGCTTAACAAATTTATTCAAGCACCACCCAGTCTAATGTTTATGCCACAGCTACTCTAAATTAACAGTATTGATAATTACCAAAATATTTTTTAATAATTGCTGATCCACCAGTGTGTGCAGGCTCCTTAATCTTCAATCAGAATGATATTTTTAATGCAAAAATGTATTTATACATGAATTATTATTGTATTATTATTATTATACAGTCGTTAACTTACATTCCTGAACAGAAAAATTACTTCCAGTGGTTAAATGTTATACTTGATTAATTTATCTGAACTCAAGTGTGCCGGCTCAAATTTGGGCATAAAAATGTGAACTCAGTTTGTCATTTGTCTAGCAAACAACAATATATGATACTGTTAATGCAGGGTATAACCGGCAGATGAAAACATGATTCACTATTTTGAGAAATAAAAGCTAAAAAGTGAAGAATGACCTTTCCTCTCAGCATTGCCAAAATGAAGCTACTTCACATTGGTATTTGTGAAAACACGACAGTTTACTGTACTGGGTATACTGCAGAGTGTCCCTCCCTGCCACGTAAACACCCACCCCGCAGCGATGCCTCATAAACACCGGCATCACAGCCACTAATACAACACATGCATCAAGAGCAAGAGGTGTTGTTAGGATCCGTTGGGGGCTCAGCCCAGTCAAAAAATCTTTAGAGTTCCATCTGATAATTGCAGTATTATTATGATATTTCAGTGTAAAATGAAAACAAGCTGTGAGGCACTGCAGTCTTGCAAAAGGTTTCAGTCAGGTGAGTAGGCTGCCTTTCACAATATGACTGCAATTTTCTCATTCAGCTTTGTTATTTATTTATTTTATTTATTATTTCTTTTTCAGCAGCAGGAGTAAAATCTTGAAGGAAAAGGGTCTTGGTGTTGATGAAGGAGTCATATGGTAGATTATATGTTGGTAAAACTTCAATTTTGAAAATTGGCCAACCCTGCTCTGATAGCGTCTATTTCTATTATGTGATAAAGGCTCCTTTTTCAACTGTGACAAACTGTATTATATTTGTGCCTTGTCTATCTATATGATACTGTCCTGTCATCTGTCTGTTATGCTTCTCATTCTTTTTGCTGTTTTCATATTATCCTCTCCTCATCGTCAGTCAGCAGAAGGAATACAGTGAAAAGGAAGCAATCAGTGTTTGCCAACTAAAATGAGACAAATCTCTCATTTGATTACTCTATGGAGAAGTGCTATTTATCTATATATTACAAACATGGCTTAGCCAGTTTTCCCACACAGCAATAATCAGAAGTTATGCTTTTAATATGCGTTTTGTACATCGTGTGTCAAAGTCCTGAGCCAAAATCCATAATCCAAGGTTTTAATCTAACTCACAGATCATTTTACATTCTTATTAAAGTTCGTCTCACCCGGTTGTGGCTGTGATCTGCACAGCTCGCCCCCCGAACACTCCAAGTAGCACTCCACCTGAATAGACAGGCGTGTTTTGCAGCTTTAAAAGAACATGCATATTAAAACAAGTTTCAAGAAGATGAAAAGTTGATGCTGAAGGGAGAGAATTTCCACTGGGGTGTGAAAAAAAGCATGTATCTTTATAAAGTGTAAAAAGAGGCTGATGTATCCATTTGCCACGAGACAATTTCTGCCTTCAGAGGATGTAATGTGCATCGTCATTTTGATGCCGGAATCCACATACCTGCAGAGCTATGGAGTGATACTCCGGGATCAGAGGTTTCACACAATGTAGCACAATAGACTTAGTTTCTTTGAACCCCATCTCAAAGTAAAGGAGCTATTACCCGTTATCGGGTGAGTTTCAAGTTTCATTTTGATGTGCAGACAGTTTCGTGCTCTTAATGTTACTCAAAGATTTTTTTTTTAACTAAATGTTATAGAGGCTAAAAAACTTTTTTCTATTAGAATAATGCAAATAAATGTTTGCATTATATACTATGTTTTTATTAATGTTTGCACATGTTTCAGAGATGAGTTAAAAAAGAAATGAGGGGTGGTTTAAGACTTTTGCACAATGCTATTATTATTTACCACTGCGGCCCTTAGTAAAGGCACCTTTTAACACCATTATTATAAGCAATAATGGTGAGAAAAATGTTTGATATTGATACAAACTAAGAAAAATGTTTGAGAACCATAAAGCTAGCTAACTGGTAGCTGAAGAGCCTCTTCTTAACCAACTTGAGCTTGTAGATGAGGCAGTGGGAGCTCTCATGTCCTGACTCATCAGCAGCTTCGGCAGCAGGAGACATCTCATCCTTCACCTCCTCTAGCCTCGCCTACACCTTGTTGCCATCATCCCTTTGTTCAAGCTTCACAGAAGCAAACTTTTACCCTCTTAAATAAACCATTGTAGCTTTCCTCATAGCTTATTTAAAAGGTCAGTTGACCATATTGTTAAAAAAAAGAAAAGAAATTGGTTAGAGTTGAACCTGCCCATAATTGAAATCTTGCATTGCTGAATTAGTACACTACTGATACTAGGAATGACAAGCCGTTGACCTACATATGCCGTTGACATATGTATATATATATATGTATGTATATTATATATATGTATGTATGTATATATGTATGTATATGTATGTATGTATGTATGTATGTATGTATGTATATATATGTATGTATATATATATATGTATGTATATATATGTATGTATATATATATATGTATGTATGTATGTATATATATATATATATATGTATATATGTATGTATATATATGTATGTATATATATATATGTATATATGTATGTATATATATATATGTATATATGTATGTATATATATGTATGTATATATGTATATATATAATCCTTAAGTCACACTGAGTTCTTTTGATTCCTCAGAGGCATCCGATGGAAGACAAAACACTGCTCAGTAGACCATTTAACACTTTATTTTCACTTTGACAATACTTCTAGAAGGGAGATGCGTCCTGCAAGACACGTTGCCGCAGATCTCAATATGGTGACGGGCACCTGACAGTTTTATTACCGCGCACCCTATTCTAGTCTAAACAACAGCATTTCAGTAACTTAGATAAGATGGTTCCCTCTTATCTACTGCTCTACAGGCAAACATGGGCGAGAGTCTACGACTGGAGGACACCTATTCTAATGCCTTTATTATTCAGGCCTGTGTCCACTTAACACTACTCTATATGATTATATGGGCAGTTTTGATTAATATGAGATTAATATAAGGCACAGTAATAAAGCACTTCAGGTAAGATCATTCTAACACCTGTCAATACGATCTCATGCCAGGTGTATGGAATTAACATCTTATTAGTACCAGAGCGGTCATTCAAGGACATATAATCTTTGACATGTAACATGAAAGCCTTTGTAAGTAAGATTTTGTACAAAAGGAACTCGATAGAGGATTTCAGTCATGACATCCTTTTCAAAGCAGTGAAGTGAATAGCTGCTGGGCATCACGGTCAGACTCAGTTATTATGTGATTTTGTCACTTATTCTAATAGACGTACTTAAATACACTGAAGTTTTTTAGCCAAAGGCTGTTGTAGATGAACAAATAGGTTCATAAAAACTCAACCTTTTCTTTATGATAACTAGTCTTTAATTTAAACCAATTTTCATACTGGATGAGGACCAGTGTGTTACTCATGCTTTAATCTGTGTATTTTACTTGTTCGAGTATCACTGTTTTGTAAAACTCTGTTTTGAGCCTACAGTGGGGGTGAGCAGGAAGGCAGCACTGCATGTTTGCCTTTCTAATTACTTCTCATAGGAACCCAGCTATTGATTGTTGCAAATGCTCATTGATTTTTAGCAGGACTCTACACTATCTGACGTTTGTGCTAAATACCAGGGGACGAATGACGTCAGTGGGCTTGTCTGTGACATCGGTTTATCTGTTTGCGGGTATGTGTGCGGAGGAAGAGGTATGCAAATGTGTCTGTGCATGCATTTTTTCTGTAGATTAAATGAGAATGGGCTTGTGTATCTGAGGAATAGGAAAGTTGCTGCATTTCTTTTGGCCCCGGAAGCCTAATCGAGAAGCATCGATCAAGCAAGGGGAAACAGCGTGCTTACTTGCACATTGAGATAGCCAAAAGCTATTGGCAAACTGTTTGTTCTCATTGGATAAAATCACAAGACTTGCCTCCCTGTGATTCTAAACAGATCACCATGTCAGAAGGTCAGAAGGGGTGCCACAATATATCAGCAGTCTCTTTCAATATTTTTAGTAACTAAATGTTAGGTGATGCCACAGTTCAATAACTACTTTAATTATCCATTAATGAATTCTGCTGGCATTGCAAGTTGAGATGACAGCATGTCAAGTACAAAGGAGTGCAAAGTAAGCATTAAAATACAAAATAAAGTTGTAGGCATAACCCCTGGCTGTTTAACTTCTTACAGTTGGCAAAATTACATCATTATTTACAAACTATATAGATCAGCAAACTGACTGAGTCCTCTAATACCAGGATTCACAAAGTACAGTCCATAGACCAGGTGTATCATTTTCATGTGAGCATGAGAAAACAATGTTGTGCTTCACATTATGTTTTTGTTTTTGACACTGATGAATTCAGCTGATACAAACACATTTAAAACAACTCATCTGTTAAAAGGCCTACCCCCCTGGTAACATTGGTTATCCCCTGGTTGATGGAGAAAAACGTGAGAAGTTAATGGCTATTGCTTAAAAACTGGTCACAGAGAAGTTGCTACACCAAAAATCTCCCCTCGATTGCGTCAGCTGCTAGCATATTGCTAC